AGCCAAAAACTGAAGTACCCTTTACGCCCGGGCTGTCTCTTCCAACATCTCTACTGATGGGTCAGGCTGTCTAGTAGAACGGCGCGTTTTCTTCGACATATCGCCCTCTAATAGTTTTGAATCATTCAAAAAAGTTTTCCAAATTGTCAAGCTAATTTAAATCAGCTGCCCAGTTACGCGCAAAACTTAAAAAAAAACCTCCACTCATTGACAACTCCGGTACTTTTACAGAAAACATAAGTATCGATCATTACATCTAAAAACATACTGAGTATTTCGAAAGCCTCAAAATTTGAAATTCACAAACCTTCTTAAAAACATAACACTAATACTTTTGTACTAGTAAACAACCTAACAGGCACAGTATGAAATCATCGAATCACACGTACTAAAACACTATCTTTTTAGTTAATATTTATACCAAAAACAATTTACCTAAATCCTTAAATTCCAAGTTCTTAAATTAAATGAGAGAATGAACACCCTGCAGTATAGCCAGTAAGCAAACATAATTCAAAGCAAAACCTTAATTAATCCTAGTACATAAAATTTAACACTTTCATTAAAACAATAAGTTATACAAAATAAATAAATTCAAAAAAATCAGTTACTGATTCCGAACCTTCACTAAGCCTGGTCACGGCACCAATGTTATGAAGAAATGTTTCGACACCAAGGTTAAATAGTTTTACTTCTAGGTACCATGTTATATCTGAAATTCCTATATTGTTAAATGTTAAATATGAAACTACTTGCCGTTAAAGGTAGTAATCGTATAGTGAAACGTGAACACATTTTTGCGTTGTGAAAAAAAATGCATTCCGGGACCACGCCGTGAGAGGATCGAAAACATAAAACATATACAAAGATATAAAGGAAAAGTTCATATTAAATATATAAGAAAACATACTGTAAGAGGTTCCAGATTAAATATCAGTTTATTCAATTACAACACAATAAGAAAAATCTTAACCTCATCTGAGAGTCTGTTCATTCAAATTCATAAAAAAACTTAAGGTTTGTCTGTGATTTAAAAGAAAGGAAAGGGAAACAATTTAAGGCCTGAGAGTTAAATTTTAGATTTGACGTTGTTTTTTTTTCTGCTAAGGACGTTTTTGAAAAGCTTGCCTAAAGTTCAAACACACCAAAAAAAAAAATAAAACTTATCTTGAAGGGACATCTTGAAGCGGAGGACTCTTATCTTATCCCGCGTTGATGTCGGCCGGGCTCATCTTGACACTGGTTCTAAAAATGTAGACTCCACTTCACTACTGTAGAACAGAAACAGGAGCACTGCTGCCCAGGACGGCTATCCGCTTAGTCCTGAAAGTCCTATGTCAACACGCAGGTAACTCGTTCAAATTTCGCCGGTCAGAAACGTTGTTGCTAGGAAATTACTGCTCGCCTGTTCTTACTCATCCCAAGAGCAAGCTTCACGGGTAACGTCCCAAGTAAGTTCCACCCACCAGTCAGTAAGGGAGAGAATCCAACTCCAATTTTCTTCAAGCCAGTTTTCAAAAGCAACGTCCACAAGTCCAGCAAACCCGAAAGTCAGCGAGTCCAAGTGTAAGTGAGTCCAGAGAAAGTGTGAATCCAACTCGAATTTCCTTCGTCTCCTTCACAAAACGGGCTCCCACTATGGCTTCACTTATCGCCCCCTTAATTATGGCAAAATCTTCGTTTTCAACTCCAGAATGCGGAAATAAGGGTGATCGCGCATGGCGCGCCCTTCTTCACGTAGCCAACAACCGGACCCTCAATCGCCAAAAACCTGAATGACTTACATTGAAAGACAAGTAGCAACCTTTGACCTTTCCGTCACGTACTTTCCTCTCTTAAGGTCAACTAACAATGAAAATTCTTTCTCGAACATTCTAAAGCGCGCGAAATCATGACTTGGCGAAAATTGCCTCCCTTTCCCTGCTTCTTTCACAATGAATAAAAGTTTGTACAAGATTTGCAAATAAAGGAAAATAAATAATACTCTTTTAAACTAAATAATATTTCCAGAAGCATCTGTTTTTCCCCAAAATTAGAGCCTTAAATTAAATAATTCAGAATCAAAATAAAATTTAAATTTCCATAAATCATAAAATCATTCACCTAATTTTTATAACGCTATCCGGTAATTTCTCTACATAACACTAGGGTCGAAGAGAAACACCAGACTACCGGCTATTTTCCATCCCGAACGCTCTTCGGTCGTGACCTTCGTCTGCCTTGTGATCTCTTGTTTGGTCGCCCTCCGGATGTTCCTTCAACGCCTGAGGAAGATATTCAAGATCTTCAGGCCCGGTTTGAAGTGATGCACAACTTTGCACGAGAGCGAGTCAACTTGGCGGCGGAGAAGATGAAGACCCGATACGACACAATAGCTACTGAAAATCAGTTCCACGAAGGAGACAAGGTGTGGTTGTGGAATCCGACTCGACGGAAAGGACTCTGTCCGAAAATGCAGTCATCTTGGGATGGTCCGTACACATTTCTAAACAGGCTGAAAGACGTTGTGGTTCGGATCCGTAAGTCATCGAACTCTAAACTTAAAGTTGTTCATTACGACAGGTTAGCTCATTACTATGGCCATAGTACGTAGTGTAAATAGTTGTAAATAGTGTAAGACCATGGTCCTTTTTGTTTCTAAATGTGTATTTGATTTGTATTTAGTATCTGATACCACTTGATTTGTTTTAGTTATTGTATTTATTTTTCATGTTGTTTGTCATTGTAATGTAATGTAATGTTTATTATTGCATTTATGCCTTAGTTGTAAGTTTGGCTTCCTGTCCAGAGATTGTACTGCCCGGGACGTGCAGTCCTTGGGGAGGGGAGCAGTGTTACGGATTTGGTATTTAATTAGTTAATGTTAGTATAATTATAAATAAAAGTGTTTTATTCCCCGTTCAGTGCAGCGCGTGACGAATATTAAAAGAAAGCTACGCCGCAAAATCTAAAATACAAGAGCACGTGCATTTAACATTTAATAAATAAATATCTTTTTTTGATTTTAAAAAATTGCTAGAACAATCGCGCGTGATTTACAAAGCTTATGAAAAGGGGAGAAACTTCTCAAATTAGTTAGTTGTTAGTTGTTTTTTTAAGAGTTTGTTTAGAAAACTGCTCTTGTTGACTGTAGCGAATTCGCGGATTAGCTTTCTCTAGCTGTTTTGAATTAAGTTATGTTGAACGTTTGAGTAGTTAAAAGTTAACTACTGTGAGATATTGTAATACTCTACGAATATCTGAGGAAATTTAAGCATTTCGTTTTATTTGTTGTGATAATAAAAAATTTTGTTCATTTTTCATCGGACTTGTGCATTCAAATCATAACGAACCCGTACGCACGCAACAATATCTTATGTATTGCTAGTTATTAAGGAAGTCTGACAGTTATGATCATAATGTATTATAATCAAAATAATATTTGGATAAATGATACATGTACTAGTTAATACCTAATGACTGATAAAATCGAGCATCCACCTCCACGAAATCTTATCATAAGAACCTAAGCTTTAAACATTTTATTACTATAGACTGCAATTTACTGCCCATGGGAAAGCTATCAGGTTTCTAACGACAATTGTCACGAAACGTCCAGGCATTACCAAGCATCTCAAAAAAACAATATGTATAAAATATGGATTTAGCGGTTACCTTTTAATTCAAGAACTCTATGCATAATATGGCTTGTAGCCAGCAATATGGCATAGACTGACAAACATAATGTATCTGTGAGATTTGAGGTGATCTATCGTGAAAAGGGATCATGTATTCTATGATAAATTTGCAAATTTCAAGTGGCAAAGACAATATATGCTGTAATTAAAACTGAAATAGTTGCTTCTTTGCCAACTTAAATGCCAATAGTGAAATACGAGTATCATGTTACATGCATTTCGGAATTTCATGTACTATATATGCTGTCGGATTTTTGTCACTTATGTTTTATTTACCGTCTATCTCAAGCCGCAACACTTTACTGTATCTTTTGTCAGTATTATTTTTTATTTTCAGGGGAATGCTGCAAAGGATCTTGGTTGGTCCCAAAGGGAAAAACATTCTGTACAACGTGCTTACCAATATATGTCGAAACTGTGTCCCGTACGGTTTACTGGATACTTCAGGGTCCACTCCGTCTCTAATAATATTTGAAACACATCATACGGATAAAACCCCATTTAAATAATCGTGCAACATACTTCGTATTCCACAACATTACTTGTTAGTGATTCGAACATGTTTCTGCCTCGCATCATACTAACTCAATAGTCCTTGTTATACGATAGCACCTGCCAGGAATATACTTTATAACAGAAAGACATTCTAACTCACATGTGTTTTATGTTGGCCAGTCCATTTCAGTATTACCGGGGCTCGTCAATTTATACGCTCTCTTATGGGCTTGTAAAGGACCGCGGAATGTTGCTTTATATAACTTTTATGCTTTGTTTACTTCAATTACTTATTTAATCAAAATCATCCAATAAGGATCTCAACAGCCTCTATATTTAGTAACTCTAATAATGCAATGCATCTCTTTTCAAACGTGCCGTTTGAAAACTTAATGTATAGCTACAAGGTAAACTAGCTGAACTGAAATTTTTTAACTTTTAATAATCTTTAATATCAAAATATAAATTAAAATATTAGAAGTGTACAACTGTTTAAAAAAAGGATTTAGATAAATTTCAAAGTAAACTAAACAGAGTATATGTGAAATTAGGTACAAATCAAATGAAATTAAATATACTGATTTCCAAACAACATGTGCTTCCAATGTTCAGTTGTAGCTCATTGTGCAATAATTAATGAAACGGAAATTTATATCTTATCCTTTCAACGAATGAACTAAGCATATACATTTTTATATGCAAAACAGATTTATGTAGAAAGATGGTATCACGGAATACTACAAACAGCCATTCTCGATTCGATTTTTACAAAAATTAAAAGATTTATGTTAAAGCACTTCAAAATGTTTTCATAAAAACTATTTTTACCAATGAGAGGCATATATATCCAAGCACTTCCTATTATAGGCAGACTAGGTAGGCAAGGAATTTCCTCAAATGGCTTAGCTGCAGCAAGCTGAGGATTATCATACTGGTTGACACCCGTAGTGATAGTGGCCATCCACCTAACAGCAGATAAAGGTTTTGGGAATGAACGGTTTACATGCAGTCCACTTTGGAATATTTTCTCAAAATGAGAATAACGAAACATTTTGCTGCCTGAAATAGAAACACAAATTTTATTTCTCTAAAAGACACTTAATTTTATCGCTCAATAAAGTAAAAATTTTTCTAATAACGTTTATTATTCACAACTATCAGAAATATGTTTGCTTGAGTGGAAAGAGACCATTAATTATATACTTCGTATTAAGAAACAGGAAAACTCTGGTCACTAAGTTTACTAAGTTTCGAACACTAAGTTTCGTCACTTTAAGTTTCGAACTAGTGGTCTTCCTTTACTAGCAAGTCTAGCTGACCACTAACACCGCGAGATCATGATACAGAGGAATGCGATTTATTTGGAGCAAAAATATACATTGTATACATTTTAAAGTCATTTGTTAATTAACTCAATTATATTATTATTTTGCTATTAATTTCTCTTCTACTTTTCTCAGCTCCGACTATGATGCAAATTAGTTAATTTTTTGAAGCGCAGAATTTTAGATGGAGAATTAGTCATCTATCGCAGATCAGTCACCTTTTTATATCTCCTTGCTACTGAACTTCTTAAACTGCTTTAGCCTGGCCACCCATAATTACTTAATGAAAATATTTAGGCTTGAGCCAAAACTTACTTAAGAGCATGTTATTTTGTATTCCAGTGTGAATGATCTATTCTGAATTTCTTGCAAGGTGCGAAGATTGTGCTGTGTTGCACTAAGCTTTGTGTATCCATCAGGCTGATGTGTTAATAAAAAGGTTTATTTTAAACCTTCATTTGAGTTTACGTTTACTGTAGTATAGAAGTAAGACATGACAATAAGTTGACTGTCTGTTTTTATGGTTCTGTGAGTTCATAGTTAAAGTATTGAGAAACTATACAAACTATTAAAGAGCTTTATTTTAAATCCTGCTAACCTTCTCTTTCTAACTTAATTCTGGCCAGAAATATCGAAATTCAAATAATAGTATTATTCGTCCTTTTACGTTAAAGAGCTGAGACGTGCACGACAAAAGTAAATTTACAAAATTATATATATATATATATATATATATATATAACGAAACTTTTACGAGACATTAGGAAGATTTTATAAATATTTTAAGGCAGAGCAAGCATTTTATTTGCTCGCAAATAATTTTGCAGTACCAGTTTGTAAACATGTATATATTTTAACATTGTAAACATGTATATATACCATTGTAAACATGTATATATACCATTGTAAACATGTATATATAACCACATTTTTTAAATACATACTCAAGAATGAATTTTCCAAAAGTTAATAATCCTTTCTCCACACTATACCAAAATACAGAAACCAAATTACTTAATGTAGAAACTCTAATATTCATTTACTAGCCGCTATGCGGCCAGCCTTCGTCTGGCTTTTAAACGTACCGGAAAAATGCCTAAAATAAAAACCTGGAACCGATGGCCGCGTAAGTTCTTCCAACTTTTTTCTCTTTGTTAAGATTCCAACCCTCCCTTGCATACGGCCTGATGTATCTCCAGAAAAAAAAAAATCTTGAATTTTTAGCAAACTGATTGCATGAGCTGTGCATTAAACTTTGTTAAAGCATAATTTATATTCCCCTTCTTAACCACCACCATAACTACATAAAAATTATATAAAAATTCTACAATAAAATTAAATTTTTTAAACAGCTTCTTACTCGATAGTTCGAATGTTTCTTTTTCTGAAATATTGAAATGTTATGATACTTCAGGAATCTTCTGAGAAAATGTGTCAGCAGTCATATCGCAGCCATTTAATTTGATGATACTAAGCAGTATCTCTTATTACAAATATTAATTAATAATAACCAACTAACATTTAACTTAATAAATAAATTAACCAACTTCCGTTTGCAAAATCTTAAGAACTCAAATGGTATAAAGGAGGTTAAGAACTTTGTTTCCTAAAAAAAAATCACTAAAAACTTTTCAACATCTTAAAAACAGTGAAATGAGCAATAAATAACATAAAAGTATACAAAAAACAAAAAATTCTGAAAAGCAAAGTATAATTAATGATATTTTATCTTATATTTTCAAGAGAAAAAAATTGCAATGAAATAAGCCATATCCCTTAATACAAATATTAATTATTCTAATAAAAAAATTAACAACTTTCCGTTGAAGAAAACAAATCATGTAAAACTTTTCAATATCTTACAAACAGTGAAATAAGCAAAAAATAACATGAAAGCAACTCAAAAAAAAACATAAAATTCCGCGCAGAAATTTACTGTGCAGAACAAACAACGGTGCTACTTTGGTAGACGGTTGCACGGATTTTTGGCGATTTACGTTGACGCAATTGTTGGAGCGATTTCTACAAACGTCAGCCATCTTGAAAAACGCTGTTTTTACGCATAGTAAAGTATTCGAAACTTAAAAAAAAAAATAAATATTGTTAAAAATAACGGATTAATTTTTTGTTGAAAAATGTCGTTTTTTAAGATGGCAGGCAAGTGTAAATAAATACATTTACTATGAGTATAAAATACTAAAGTAAGGTTATTATTACTTTCATATAGCAAAGAAGAGAATAAAAAACACCGCTATAAAAACATTGTGCCAACGTTTAATTAGATTAAAATATTACTGAAATTGAATATCGAAATAAAAAACCATCATCCAACATTTAAAAGAATTAGAGTATTATTAAATTTAAATAATTTAAAATACGTTATATAGAATAGAATATATATATATATATATATAGAATAAATACATTTACTACGAGTATAAAATACTAAAGTAAGGTTATTATTACTTTCATATAGCATAGAATAAAAATACCACTATAAAAACATTGCGCCAACGTTTAATTGGATTAAAATATTACGTAAATTGAATATCGAATTAAAAACCATCATACCAACGTTTAAAAGAATTAAAATATTACTTAAATTAAATACTTTAAAATAAGTAAATAAGAACGCTTCGTACACTAGAGCTAAAATGACAGCAATTAGTTTATTGTCGGTAAAAAAGGAGGAATGTCTAATAATTTTCTTACCGTTACAGCAGTTATTTCTTCCAACATGACCACAATATCATATACGGCCCGTCTCAGAATCGGCTCTTCTAACGGTCTTCATCTGTGATCTACATTTTCGCACTTCATTGAAGAAACAATTAGCGACGTTTCCTCCAAAAATTTAAAATGAATTTCCTCTGACGCTTGTAAGAATTTATAAATAAATCTTTGATTAGGAAAAGCCAGGCTTGGCGAAAATTAAAGGTCTCAAAGGACAATTTTTTTTTTATTCCGAAACCAAAAATTCTTGGTACTTATCAAAAACAACATTCATCTTTGAAGGAGACATTCCGTTTCCTATGAAATCTAAGGAATTCGAAGATAGGAAATTAAAATTTTAAAATGGCGCGGTAATGCACAAATTTTCAGCAACCTATCAGGGAGCTGATTACAGCTCATTTAATGCACAAATATTGTATAACCAATCAGAGAGCTGATTACATCACGCCTAGAATTAAAATTATTTAAATAATCATACATAATAAATCATTTTAAGAAAAGAAATGCAAAATTAAATTGTATTTTAATATTTAACAGCCATAAATAATGTTTAAAACATTAGATTAAATTTATAGATATTAAAACCAATTACTTTTATAGTAAGGTGACGTCACTGATTACATCATCCACAGCATAAAATTTCATAAAATATGATAAAGAATAAAATTTTTATTTCAAATAAATTGCAAAATTAAATTGATTTTTAATATTTAGAAGCCATAAATACTATTTAAAACACGGAATTTATGCATAATAACACGCATTATTTTTTAAATAAAATGTCAACAAAGTATCGGTTACCATAAATAACTTATCCAGCAATGGGTTTACCATAAGTCCTATTACTCGCCAAAAGAAAAATTGCCAAAAACTCGCCAAAATCCGTGCAACCGTCTACCAAAGTAGCACCAAAACAACTTTATAAAAAAATCAATAAAAATATTATATATATATAGTATATAAATGAAATATGCCAATCTCTTAAAAACAGTGACATAAGAAATACGATGAAAAATTGTTGCCAAACCCATATTTCTAAAAGAATGAAACTATTCAAAATGATGCGATTTCATCAAAAATCTATTAACAACAATATGAAAGGAAAATTGTTGCCAAAATCACATTTTTAAAGATGTGAGGTGTGAGAAGTGTACTCGGAAGCTTCATTTAAAAAAATTTTTTTAAATACAAAATATTATCATTTTTCCAAAATTCTTTTTGTAAAAGCAGTCGCAAGGATGAAAGTTCAACGTGTCCAAAAATCAAAGAAAAATAAACTGTACATTTTAAAAAATAAACGTTTTTTAAAAAAATCCCGTTGTAAAGGTGTTAAGCTCCTTTTGTTAAATAAATTCGTATTTAATCGATTTATTGAAACACGAAATTTATTTTAAGTTCGTAAAATAGCTAAGAGCCTACGTTTCATGACGATGTGAAAATGGAGTGTGCAGAGTAAAATCTCGCTTTCCTATAGCCCATTATGTCTCAAAATGACGCGATTTCGTCACAAAACAAAAAATTTAAAAATTTCTAATTCAAATTTCGAAAAAATCGCTTCGAGGTGCACTGGCTCTTGTCTAGATGCACCTATGTACCAAATTTCGTAGCCGTTGGTCTATTAGCTTACGCGCAGCGCGAACGAAAGACACACATACACACAGACAGACTCTTTCTTTTATTATATGTAGAGATTATAGATTTCTATTATAGATTATAGATTTCCTCTTCAATCGAAAAAAAAATGAGAAAAGACTAAAATTTAAAAAAATATATTTTCCAAAATAGGGTGTTAAGAATAATCACAAACGCACATTTCGTAGTAAGCACGGACATTCTGCACCGAGATCTTAAGATCCCGAGAATGCATACACTACTTGATCTGAATGACAGATTTTTTACCAAGGCTATAAATTGCCGGACTGTCAACTATTCAAAAATTTTAGGTTATGAGATTCTTGACAACGGCAAATTACTTCGACCTTTTCGCCGCCCATTCACTGG